GACAGAAAGCACTAACAATTCCAAATATCGCACTACTATTACAATAGTGTTGTAACTCAAAAAATGTGAAATTCAAGATTATACCATTTCTGAACGTAAAATTTCTTTCTCTACATGCCATTAAAATATTGTAAGAAACCATTAAAATATATCTACTTAACCCAGAAATAGACAAACGTTGTGTGAGCTAGTTCAGGCCAAAACAGTCCCTACTCAAAAATTACTTTTCACTTATTTTTAAATATACTTCCATTTGGCAAGTACGAAATTGTTCAGATGTCTAATAAATTTTAACCTATACACAAATTATAATAATCTTTCACCGGACCTGAGTAATTCGTTTTTCAGCAATACTGAATAAACTCACAATTTGAGTTAATACACTATTGTATTAGCAGTGCGATATATGAGATGACTTTATACTATCGAAGTTAACAAAACGATAGCGCGTTTCAGAGTACAACTAATGCCATCTAACAGTGGCGTGATGGAACTAATTGCATGTTATAGTGCACAACTTTAACATGCAATGCATTACATGCATTGTTACACAAATAGAGTTTGATTTCATGCTGTACCCAAATTTCTTAAATTATGACATTGGCGTAGACATATTATTGGCATTGGTTCTCTGCTCAAAATATTTAAGATAATCACACAGCTCTCCACAATCCTTGGTGTTTGGTTAAGTAACGCTTGCACGTCTAAAGCCGTTTGAATATCTAAATTTATGTAAATGCATTGGTTAACGTTAACGTAGCCTACATTCAGGTTAACATCCAATCATGCAATTATGCGTAGATTTCGATATCAAACAAGGACGAATATTCATTTTGTAACTGAATCTGGTGAGCATATTCTGTTTTCGAAGAACAGGATATTCCAGGATTAAGTTTTGGGATCTAGGTGGTCTAGAATAGCTATCTCTAATATAATATTAGTATGAATACATACACGTGAGGCAGATTCAAAGTCAAATAATATTTAGTTCATACGTAAGCAAATTACACTTGAAATCGTCATATTGATGAAACTCTATTGTAATGCAAATGAGTAAGAAACTCTAGGGGTTGCTCTTCTTAAACAAATATTTGTTCATATTTATTATTTACAATATTTATTTCAAATATTATAAATAGAAACAACCTACAAGAGCTAAACAGGTAATTAATATCGATATTTTATTTTTTTTGATGAACAAGTCATGCACCTGATGGTGAGTTACACGAGTGTTCATGCCAGTTGCAGTGCCACTCAGAGCTTTAAATCGCAAAGACCTTAGGGGCAATGCCACTGCGCCCGTCACCCTGAGGCATAAGTTGACAAGTCCTATGTGCCTGTAATTTCACCAGCACTCTTACCCTTCCAAACTGAAACGCAGTAGTAGTAGGAGTACAATTGTGGCTACTACAATTTTTGTTATCCAAGTACGCAGAAAGTTGTATAATAATAACTTTAGGCGCATTGTTACCGCAACCTTGACCGTAGTCGTTCCAAATCCGAGACTATATAAATCTAAAAAACTCAGGCCCACTTCGGACGCCTGTGACATTTCGGACCGTCATTTCTCGGATTCGGACCTGATACGAATCGGACGTAGTACTGTAAAGGGCCTAGTCGTGGGTTAGCGTAGCGAGAGGCACATTTCAATGAGAGACGAGGATTATATTCATAAACAAAACTTGACTACGTGTATTGAAATCGAAGCTTTGTCCAGAACTCCCATCTTGTCCTTTTCACATGAACCTTCTATTTTTTATACAATCCTAAATATAAACTAGTACAAACCTACATTTATTCAGCCAGCACTAATACAAATCACAATGCCTAGTCTACAGTACACATACTCTCATAGCGTAAATAAAGTTTTCTTATATTTATGTCAACTGGAATCCTATTATAAAAACGTATACATTGTTCCTTAAGTGAGTTTGTGACTTTGTGAAGACGACTGTCAAACACAGCCATTCAATTTTTGTTTCTCGTTCTATTCAACAAAGCATCCAAGACCGCTCCATTTTAGATGGTTCTCGTTGCGAGCAGGAACGCAATACGCTTTTGACACTGTTGGAGTATTATTGGTCGTATAGTTGACTTTAATACTTCAAATAAAGAAGGCATAATAAGTTACTATAAAACCACGCAACCATGTGAATAAATTTAAAAAAGCGTATTACATCACTGCCTATTGTTTACAGTGCTTAAAATGTAATACTTATCACACCATTTTTATTCCTACCGCAGTTCATATATACTTCCGAGGTAAAACCGAATCATTTTCAACAACGGGCTCCCACCAAACACAGAAAATATGAATAGAGTAAGGTCTTTAATATTACAAATTTGTATGAATACCAAAAATTCATGCATAAAAAGGAACATCAACCGGCTTCTGAAATGAACACTAATACAGTCTTTTTGTCCCTAAAATTCATTTATTCAAATAAATTTGTGATGTGCACTAACTATGAAAATGCTGAAAGGGAAAAAATTAGATATTCAAGAGCTGTTTTGAACCTTAAATTTTAAATTGAACAAAAATTTTCAAAAAAAATTTTGAAAGTTCAAAATTTTAAGTTCTGCTCCGTGGCGTTTGACTTCAAAGCAATTTACAAACACCGTAACTTACAGCCTGATTTAGCTATACCATTTTGCTATTTTTGGTTGGAATGGTTCCAACCAGTTAGAACTTAATGCATGAAATTCCCGTAATAATCTTTGAAATTAGTTTTTGTCCCCGATACTGTCTTTAGCATGACTTATTTTGTGGACTGATAATAATATTAATTTGTATGTGACAAAGCGTTTATCAAAAATGTATTGAGAATGGTATTTATTTACAAAATTGTAAATTCCTGCATCCTGTAAGGGGACGTTACAATTCACGGGTTTCAGGAACTGAGAAATCTTCCTCGGGGGCTTGAAATAGGTCTTGATAGATGCACGCCTGAGGACTCTTCCGATTTTGTCTGTAATACCTCGCACGTAAGGTAAAATGGCAGGTCTTCGCTTGACTGTTGGTGGTTTCACACGGCGCCTGTAGCATTTGCGTGGAATCTTCAACTTATTCGCATGTAAGACTTGCTTTATATGCTGAAATTCCCCTGCCAGATGATTACTATCGCAGACACCATGTGTTCTCTGAGATTTAGAGAACAAAAATTTGTCCAGGATAGCTAACTGGCTAGGATGGTGATGGGAATTACCATTGAGGTATCTATCCGTATGGGTTTTCTTTCGAAATACAGTATGGCCTAAGGTGTTATTAGGAATTAAAACATCTAAGAAAGCCAAAGTACCGCAATTCTCTAGATCCATAACAAAATTGTATCTTAGTACTTTTTTTTATTTCGTCGGGTTATTGCAAGAAGTCATTAATTGCCATATAATTTAAATGCAGTTAATGAGTTCTTGCAATATCTTTAGTATAATGAATTCACACTCTACCGTACCCTTTTCTACCCTATTCGTGTTTATCTGTCCGTACTGCAAGTGTGTTTCGCTTAAGGTACAGCATGCATAAAACTGCAATATGATTCTCAAAAAGTGCATATAATTATTTTTTGTATGAAATTCTAAGTAGGGGACGTACAAATCGTGCGCCTGATGTTATGCAACACGCCTATCTATAACAGTTACAGTGCCACTCAGAGCTTTAAATCGCAAAGACACTGCCACAGCGCCCGTCACTTGGACACCTGAGTTGATAAGTCTCATGAACATTTCACCAGCAACCTTAGCATTCAAAACGCAGTATTGCTTACATTACTACTTGGCGGCAGAAACAGATTTACGAAAATGCTACCGTTGTTCACTTTATTTGAAAAGACGATAGAACCTATCAGGCACTTTTTTCTAGTGTGCCTTCCTTGCCAGCCTAATCATTCCTGATGTAAATTATATGTTTCACTCACTTTATTCAGGTGCTGATGGATAGAAGATAACTTAGCGTATTCCACCACAGAGAAGTTGACAGAAATTATTGTAATCTTTTTATATTTCACGCACGTTGGTCGTGTTGATGATGAATGATTAAAGTGAAAAATGATAATAAATATGTCTTATATTATAAGTCTGATAATATAATAAGAATTAATTTATAATGTTCAGACAACCTCGTTATCTTCATCAGTTCTATGTATACGTTATGCTTATTACAAACTGCTTATGATAAAGTTGATCCTAGGAAGTATTTCTGCTGCCAAACGTCATAATGTGAGCCTTACTGTGTGATAGTACCACCAGGCCGATGACTTGTTCTTCCCGTCTTAATATCAAAAAAGAGCTGCTCCGGCACTTGTAATTTACTGTCCAATGCTTGCGCTGGAGATTATGAAGATTAAAATAAAACAATAACTGCATAATTATCATATATATTTATGAAAAATTATTGATGAAAAATGTTAGTGATATTGATTATAACATAGATAAAAGAAAAGTAATAATCTCAGTACAGAGTACTAAAAAAACTGACCTTAAAAGACATTTATCGCCTAGTTTGCCACTCTTGGAGGTGGAATATTTTCTTCAAATTTAAATGGGACCACTATTGAGGTGCCTTCTTTCCAACAAAAAAAGAATAATCAACATAGCTACAAAAACGAAAATAAACTCACTCGTAGAAAAATAGACTTGAGTTAAGACAAGTACAATTTAAATGTATTCAATAGTTTTGATGTTTAAAAAATGTCGTGACTCTATGTTTAACAATATTACATAATATTACATAAAGTTTTTAGCCAAAACACGACATTTATTAATTTTGACTATTACTGATAAGGAAATGTGCGTCGTCATGTATTTGAAGGAGCACATTCGTAAGTACAATAATCTTACGACGACTTGATTAGTATCACTGATGATTAATTTTTGATTATTAGTGTGGATAAGATAAAAAACTTGAACTTAGTCGTATTTAATGAACTATATTTAAATATTGCCGTAAATAGCATCATTAGTAAAAAAGACACAGTAGGTGTCCCTAGTACCAGCGTCCTTATTTTTGGAACTTCAAGAAAGATGACGTTGTATAAAATTATTTTTGTTGTATTTAGTACGTTAGTAGTAACTGGTAAAGTAAATAGTGACCAACATACAAGAGCAGATATTGAATGGGATGTCGTACATCCACCCTTTGATCCAAATATATACGAGGAAATTTTAGATGCTGAGGAGTGTAAAAAGCAAATAGAGTATCTGACATTAAACGACACGCTTCTGATGATGACATGTAAGTACTGCAACAGGTTTTTTTAATGTTTTGCACATTGACTTACTAATAAATGGACGACGGGTCTAATACAAAAACCACGAAAAAAATGTCCCAAGTCAACCTATTTAAACGTAGTGACATGTAAAGGAATATGACGTTGAATTTAAATTGTAATGTCATCGCAGTATCGTCGAACAAATGAAGACTAAAGCGGAGTTTGACGCTCTGTATACGATTTTAATGCTTTACAACTTCGGACACTTTTTAGCGCGGACCCGACGTCCATATAATTGTAAGTCAATGGTTTTGCACAAATCTGCAAATTAGTGATAGCAACTTTTTTCTTTAGCCGCGGGATATTAGTAAATTTAATTCTATACTAAGTTCTAAATAATAACAACCAATCTTACAGTCCTCGAAGCTGGCCCAAGAGTTCCGAGAGGGATTTTGCAAGGAAATTTTATTGATCAGGGTAACTATCATCAATGCCTTGGTATTAACAGAAAAATCGATGATATGGTTATTGATGGGAAGTATTGCCAAATAAGCATTGGGTTGTCAAGTCTTGTGAAATTGGGAGGTACAGATGAACTGAAAAACATATACAAAGCTGGTGACACTCTGCTGCATGAAATAAATTTATATGAAAGAATAAGGAAAAATTTTGAAGTTCTAAATGGGATAGAAAGTGAAAAGACAAGGTAAGAGTCAAATTTAAAATAAAATCGTTTATTTTTAATAATTTTGTAATTAAGCTGGAAGACATAGTACATTCTTCCAGCTTAATTACAAGATTATTAAAAACAAAAATACAATTATTACAATGCTTTATGAAAAACTTTGGAAACCATCAAGATATCCCAGAAACATTAACATTTAATAAATATATTTGTATTATAGTACGGGCGCTGGTGACTTTGGTGGTTTAAACTTTGGAGTATCTGTTTGCATACCAAAGCCTTGCTCCATAAGACAGGCGTTACCAAATCTCATTAGAACTGGATTGATCGGTTTTGAGGAACAATTTTGCCGATTCAAAAATGATAAACCATGGTCACCAGGGGTTTATGTGGCTATGTAAGTATTTATGGGATTTTTATTTATACTTTAACTTCATCGTAGTTATGTTTGCTTTGTAGTTGAATGTAAAACTCTTTAAAAAATGTATATATTACTATGTACATATAGAGTAATTAGGATATCGCGAACACATTGGAAATAAAGCAGGGTTTTGAAGGACAGAAACGTTGCAGGCTTTTTACAGAACCAATGGTTTGTCAGGCGTGATTATAAAACCTGTAAGTTTGAACAAAAAAACGCGGTTTTTGATCAGAAAAAATAAGTCATTACCAATATCATATTACATGTTTCTTAGCAAAAATGGCAACGCAGTTTGTTGTTGTTACTTCATTTTTTAATATCATGAACAATGTTGTATTTTAAGTAATGTTTCTTTCGGCTTCAACGTCGCTTAATATTAGGTAAGATTCTGATTGAGCATCTGTTTATTTTATGTTATAAAAATTCATGTTAATTAGCTTAATCAATAAGAGACTTTTTTTCTAGTTGCTTGTTCAGTTTACTAGGTGTACTGGCCATTGGTGGTACAGTCTACGATATTTGGAATACGCTTATACGTAAACGTGGTAAGTTCTTATTAAGCAAGTTTTCGTGTCTTGTTATTTCAAACTTCTAAATATGTCAAAAATATCTGATTGATATTATTTGATTGAAACAAAATATCGTCTGAAAATAAATGCACTTTATTGTTTTAGATATACGACTGATAATAAATTACTTTATTTTGGAAATTGGAATGTTTAAATGATTTTGAAAGTTAGAGTATCAGACTAACTTATATCGTACTGTGGTACTTACAATAGGTTTTACACTTTAGAGAAGGATAGTTTAGTTTTTGTAATTTTTATTTATTATATATTTCAGATCCCAAGGCATTGAACAAAATTAATCTGGCGTTCTCAGTGCACAGAAATTGTCGACGTCTTATTACATATAAGCCAGCTCGCGGTGCTTTAGAATGTGTCGACGGTATCAGAGCCATAACTATGGCTTGGGTTGTAATCGGGCACACATTTACAACAACACCACATATGATTAATATGCTGGACGTTTTTCAGGTACTTTGATGTTTACTGTTTTATGTATAATCCATCACTCTGTCACTATACATAATAAGAATTAAAAAGACAGAATTCTAAAATGCCTAAGATCCTGGTGTACATTTTTCTATTTACAATATTACTATCTTAACATGCCGTGGTAGCTTAATAGTTTGACCTACAGCCTCTCAAGCAGACTCGCACTTCTGAGTTTTCACGTCTGAGCTTTTTGAAATTTATGAGCAAAATTTAATTTGAAATCTACAATGAGTTTTTCGATGAAGAACAACTTAGTGAGGAAACCTCCAGGTCGCAAACGGTTCACAACCCTCGGAAAACATGTGAAGTCTCCACCCTCAATTGGGCCTGCGTGAAGGACTATGGTCTAAAGCCTCAATTTAGAGGAGACCCGTACCCAGCAGTGGGACGTGTAAATGATGATGATGACTATCTCAAAATCCATTGACTTAAAGCAAAAAAATATATAATTTCACTTGTGGCAGGGTTCTTTATCTGCACAAAGCCCACCACCACCGTTTTGCTGTGCTCCAGTTTGAGGAGTGGGGAGAACCAAATAATTGTAGAGACACAGAATTTTTAAGATCTTATGTCACTCGAGCGGCAACACACTTGCGATATAATGATACTCTTTATCATCGCAGATATAGGCTGCAGCTATAATTATCCATCCGGAGATCTGTCTCACTGTTTAGCTGTTTCAGAACTATTAATAACCCTGAACTTGGAATAGGTAGCTGTATCCGTATTAAATGGTTTGATTACAATACTCGTTATAAACTAATTTCTTCATATTCTATTGCAGTGGGTTTTATCATCAAGTTCGATATGGGTGACTGCAGCCCCAATTGCTGTAGACACTTTCTTCTTGCTAAGCGGTTTGCTGATTGTGTACACTACTGTTGGGAAACTTAGCAATAGTAAGTATATTTTCAGACATCTCGACTATCTAATGTCAATCTAATTTCACAAATGTTTTGGTTTTGCCGTTTATTATTTTATACAATTGAGACATTTATTTGTTATGAAAATGCTTAACGTCCTATTTATATATTAAATTCTATGAATTTATATATGTGCTAAACATTCAGGATAGCCTACTTTTTTGTACTATACTACTGATATTACTCGGAAATTATTGAATGCTACATAACACAGTTCGGCTTATGTGCAGGCCGGATATAGGATATGCCAAAAACCGACCTCAAAAGTACGTGGAATTACGTCTACATGCTAAGTTTTATTGAAATATCCCCTAGTTCGCCACTATACAGGACTTGACACTGAAGATAATATAAATAGGTTCTCACTACGACACTCAAAGTATATTGAGAGAAAAACGCCTTGAATTGGAGAAATAGCAAAATCTACTATTAAAGTAATTGCTCCTAAATTAAAGTTAGGCGCTATTTATAAAAATGAATCTACATGCGTGAACAGCCACCCTTCGAGGATGATTTTCTTCAAAATGAAATGGGACCGATATGGAAGTACCCGCTTTCCAACAAAAAAAGAATCATGAAAATCGGTTCACAAATACCGGAGCTATCGCGTAACATATGTACAAAAAAGAAAAGAACATACGGTCGAATTGAGAACCTCCTCCTTTTTTAAAGTCGATTAAAAAAAATACAACGAGTCTCTACCAACCAACGACAAATTCATTTCTACCTTATACCACCTCTACACTTCTTTCCTAATCTATGAAACAATTTATAAATCCTTCTGTTTATTTCCTTCATAGATCCTTTTGTATATTTTACAGTGAAACTTTTGAAGAACCTCCATCTGTTTTACCTCAATCGAATTCTACGAATGTTTCCTCTACTAGCCAGTACCATATTACTGCAAGTTGGCGTTTTTCATTATATTCATGACGGTCCAAACTGGCACGCAGTAGCTGAAGTGACACGAGTGTGTAGATTAAACTGGTGGTCAACTTTGCTTTATGTGCAAAATTATGTACTACCAATAGTACGTATTATCGTTTTTTTATATTTTGAATGAATATTCAAGAGGTTTATGATCATTCTCTTGAATATGTTATATTTTAGTGCCATTATCTGAGATTGTTTGTTTTCAGTGTTTACCTCATACTTGGTACTTAGCAATTGATATGCAGTTATATATTCTGTCTCCACTGATTTTATTCTGGGTATTATCTGGGAAAAAGAATCGTGCCTGGTCGGCTTTGATTGCTGGATTATTAGTTTGTCTCACTGCATCAACAATTTATAACTTCTTGAATAATTTTACTGGAACATTTTTACGACCTGTGTAAGTATTGTTTGAATATGAATCTATTGATTGAAACTAATCTTTAATATCCTTAATTGATTTGCTTATACGCCAATATAAAGTATCATATTTCTCGATTAGAACATTTGACCTACCTTTTACAACTTTTGTAGTTTCCGTTGATAGGTAATATTTTTTTCTACTCCTTTAATCTGTCAAATATAATTTCATAAACCATGTCATACAGGCATTCTTTTTACTTCTGAACCAAAATTCTATTGTCTGTGTTACCTACTTGGTATTGAACTGAAAAATTTTATTATAGTTCTAGATCTATTTAGTACATAGAAATATTATGAGTTTTAAAAAAAGAACCTTGTATTTTGCTAATTAAAATAATATAAAATATCAAATAGGACACTACTCAAACGCTCTACTGCCTCCCGAGTGGTTGAAATATAAGCGGGACTTGGCCAATCACGGACATTTCCTTTCATCTCTTGGGTTTTGTGGCGTTTGTTTGGCTTTCGTTTGAATTTGTTGTCGTGGACTATTAACAAAATATACCTAAATTAAATATTGGTTGTGTTTAATT